TGGGGAGAATTGGGAGGCAGGCTCAGAGCTGAAGTTTATAGGGACTAATTATGAGAAAATGTAAACAATAAATGTTAGTGGTAAAAGAAGAGGAAAAGAAATAAAACCATAAAGGGTAGTTTTTGATTGGCTTGTGTGGAGCCTGTTGTAAATATCAGAGTTTCTTGACTTGTTTCACTTAAAACTGAGCTAGGATTTATGTGAGGTTTGCTAGTCCATGTGCCTAGTATACGCAGGGGCCTTGCCAGCTCACCGTCACTTGCTGGGATTCTGGGCTTCTAATTCCAGTACACCGAACCTGAAAACCTAAGAAATTTTGTGTTTTCCATTTGTTTTTCTTAATTGGTTTTAACTTTCTTTTGAAATTCATCTTTGTATGTTAACTTAGAGTTTGTTGGTTTTATATATAGAAGTAGTATCTATGTGTTATATGACAATTCTGTTTTTAGTTTTCTGAGGAATCTCCACTGATATTCATATTGACCATATATATTTATATTCTTTTTCTTTATTTCTTTCTTTTCTGTTTTTTTGTTTTGGGTTTCATTTTTGTTTTGTTATTACTATCTTGGACTCACTTTGTAGACTAGCCTGGCCTCGAACTCACAGGGATCTGCCTGCCTCTGCCTCCTGAGCACTGGGATTAAAGATGAATGCCACCACGCCAGGCCCTCCATTCTTTTTCTTAATGAATCAAGTTTTCATACACTGTTGTAATCACAGTCCCTTCCCATTGGCCAGTGACTCATGTATATGCAATCTACTCCTGACCCTGGAAGTTTCACTTAGTGGTGATCTAGTTGGGCACTGTTTTTCTTATTATTTGGGAACTCCATTCTTATTTCTTTCATGTAGAAAGCTTCTACAGTAATAGATTTCCATATGACCCCACTAATGACCCCTGGTGTTACTTATTCCTCTTCATATTCACTTATTCCACTTCATATTCACTCTCCACCCCTCTCATCCATTCCTCTCTCCATTTAATCCTCACCATTTAATCCATCCCTCACTTCATCTCTCTAGTATGCTATTTTTCTTTCTTTGGCAGGTCCTCCTAGTCCTTTACTTGATAGTTAACCTTTGTGCACATTTATCTAAGGCTTAAAAGCTAATGCTCACGTGTAAGAGAAAACATACAATGTTTGTCTTTTTGTATTTACATTACCTCACTTAGAATGGGATTTTCTAGCTTTATTAATTTACCAGAAAATTTCATAGTTGTGTTTGTTTTTTAAAAACTGTTCACTAATATTCCATTGTATAAACATAACCCATTTTGATGATCTACTCATCAATTGTTGGACATCTAATCTGTTTCCAGTTTCTGGCTCTTATGAATAGTGGAACATTGAATATGGATGAGAAAGTTTATTTTCTTATTGTCACAGTGATGTAAGGTTATTTCTTGACACCCATCTTCATCAACACCAGCATTTGTTGTCATTGGTTCTCTTAATGATAGCCATTCTGATAGAGGTAAGATGGAATCTAAGAAAACTTTTGCTTTACACACTTCATGGTTAAGAATGATCTACAATTTTTTATGTTTATCATTCTTTTTAAGGGTATCTGTTCAGTTCACTAGTTCACTGGCTCATTTATTGACTGGTCGACTTTTTTGTGTTTGCGTGTTTGTTTAGACATGGTCTCATATAGCTCTGGCTTTTTTTTAAACTCAGGATAATGTTGAACTTTCTGATTGTCCTACCTCTATTTCTTGTGCTTGTATTACAGTTGTGTGCAGTGGATAGAACCCAGGGCCTTTTGGATGCCAGGGAAGCACTCTGCCACCGAATTATGCTCCTAGTGCTTTTGGTATTTATTACTTGCCACTCTTACATATTCTGGACTTTAATCCCTTGCCTGAGGTATACCTGGCAGGAGTTTATTTATTTATTTATTTTGGAGACAGGGTTATGTTCTTAAGTGCTTTCTGTAGTTTGCTCTTTTCACTTTGTCACAACTGCCCACATAGGGTGGTATTTCACTCTGGGAATGTGACAGTTTATACTCGGGCATCTGACTTCTGGAAGTAATCATGGATCTTAAAGTCTCACAGTGTGACAAAATAGGATTTCTCTCTTCTGCTGATCTATCACACCATAAGAAACACTGCTTCAATAAGACTCGAGGGTTGTGTCTGCTACGGGCTGCTGGTTCTGAGTCTGGTCTGCATCAGTTCTTCATGGCTTATGCTTTGAATGAGGCTCTTATTTCCCTGTTCTGCTAGGGAGTTATGCTGCTGGTGCTGTTTGGTTTGGCTTTCTTTTGCTGTGTTAACCTTTCTTCTTCCCCAGTATTTCAGCTGCTGTAGCACTCACTGCCTGTGTGTATGCTGGAAGCTCTTCCTCTTCCATCTTTGGAATACTGATTTTTATTCACTGGGTCATGTGGAGTGCTTCCCAGCCAGCTATCTTTTCTAGAACTGTCAACATTTTCCATTTGATCAGCATCCTTCAATCTTTCTTTGTGCATATATTGTGTAGAAAATGTATGGAAATGACCCCCTCAGAGTCCTTGCCATCAAGATTTTGCAACTTATGAAAATGCCTGGTAAGTGAAAGTGAAAATGACAGTGCAGAAAAGTTTGAGCAGTGGTAGTTAAAAATTCAGTTTCTAATGCTTTATCATAAACGTGCCTTAAAATGAGCTAGATTGTTCATATTGTTACAGAGTAGGCTAGAGAAGGATCAGAGGTTTCATCCATCTTCTGAACTTGGCCTGGCTGTAAAATATTTTCTGCAGCGCCTTCTGGTTACTGATTTACAAAGATGTCTGGATTTGTAACTGCTTCAGCTTGCATTGGGGTAGTGATGCAGTAAACTCAGAAGAAGGCCTTGGATAAAATGTGGTAGTTACATGAGAATTGTGCCTCATAATAATAATATTTCTGTGTAAACGAGATTATATATTTAGAAGCTGTTAGAGGGAACTCAGTAAACTTTGGAGTTCCACATCAGTGTGTTTGACAGCACACTTCTGTCTGTATGCACGGGCACACCTCCTAGATCTTCTTTCCTAGCCAAGGCTCTAATCATGCCATGTAGATACCAAGTCAGCTTCGCTTTAGTCCAGCCATGGTGATATTAAAAAAAAAAAAAAAAATTAAAAGGAAGCAGTATTCAGGTGATTGGTAATCCTTAGAACTGTTACATTCCTAAGTATATCTTTATTTGTGAAGGTTAGCAGTATATACTATTAATGAAATAAGTAGATTTAAAAATATATATTTACAGAATCTGAAATTAAATATGGAAAGTATAAGAAATGTATTTAAAAAAGTTTAAGAAATACAGAAACCAAGAATCTGGTACATATAATTTAGACACATATATTTTATTTTATATTTGTATCTGTATTATTGAAAAATAGTTTCTTTAAAGCATAATCCCATGTACTATGTATTATAGACTGTTACTTTCTATTAATTATTATTACTGCGTTTATATGGAATCTCACTGTGTAGCCATGCTGGCTTGAACTTTTCAATCTTTTCTCATAGTCCCTTGACTGCTGGAATTATAATCATGCCATTCTGCCTATACCTACTCTTTTCTTTTCCAAATGCTTTCCTCAGATATATTATTACTCATAGGAATAATGTAAAAACTTGACCTATTATGTGAATGTAAACATTTTCATTAATACTGTAGTAAAGGTGCTTCAGTTAATTAGGCAGTGCATTTGGTTTTATTCCTCACTGGTGGTACATTGTGAATACTTGTTTCCTATAAATTGAAAGCACATATGGATTAGCCTTTAAAAATTCTATATTAGTTGACATAAGTTAGAAACTCCATGTTGATTAATATAGAATTTTTTCTATGGTCTTCTACAGTTTATTGGAATTAAGAAGACCTATCTACTTGTCTGGGAAAAAATGAGTTCATACTGATTAACATTGACTTTAATCCCAGCCTTGCCACCAGTGACCACATATGGTCAGAATGTGGTCATTCTGTCCACCATTTGGGTTTTACATCGGGTTTACTGGTTTTACATTTGAAAATGGATTAAACAGGATATATTCAAGTTTGAAATATTTACTGGGCAGGAATGAATGATTCCTGTGCCATAAAACCATTTTAAAATTATCTTAATATCTCCAAGACCTTGCTACATGTGTTCACAAGATTCATGGCTGCTAAATTAGAGGCAAATCCCTGGTCTTAAGGATTCCCTTTGTCTTTGGATTACAGATTAATGGGGAGCCAGCTCTTGGTTTACAAGGAACTAGAGACTCAGTTCTAACGTATGTATACAGCCATTAAGGAAGGTGACTATCCTCAGAGGAGAGATCTGCTTCTACCCTAGGAACTAAGATTTCCTCTGCCCCATGGTGAAATAGGTCTAACTCTCCAGAAGACTATCCCGGAACTATGTAGATTCAGGTGCAGTAAGATGCAGTAGCTCTTCAAATCCTGACAGAAACCAGCTTTGCCTTAGCAATGTGCAGACCACTAGTTACTTTAACAACACCTTAGAGGTGGATGGGAATTTGTAGACAGTTCTAAAGCTGTGCTTAATATTTTTAGCTCAGGAAAGGGAGTAGACCTCATCCTTGTTTTGTGGCACACTTACTTGACATTCAGGAGGCACTATGGGTTTTTATTTTGTAGTTTAATATTGTTTTATGTGCATGAATGTTTGTATTTATGTATATATAACACATGGGTGCCTGGTGATTGTGGAAGCCAGAAAAGTATGCTGGATTCACGTAGTAAGTTGCCATGTGAGTTGCTGGGATCCAAACCAAAGTCCTTTGCAAGGGCACTGATTGTATTTAACCACTGAACCATTTCTCCATCCCCAACATTAGGAAGTTTTGTGAATGATGAATTCATACTTTACTGAACATTTTCTGCATTGCAAATTATTTAAGCTAGTAAACTAAAAAAGTTGAAATTGTTCTAATGTTCACAAAATTCTTTTATTTTTTTTATGCTAAAGTGCAGTAATACTAATAAGCTCTCCATTGTGTTCTTTCTTCCGTACAGTGTGTCGAGATTTTGCTGTCTTGGAGGACCACACCCTGGCTCATAACCTGCAGGAACAAGAGAGTAAGTAGCAGCTCTATTTCATGAGCCTGTAGCTTACTCTTTAGTGGCAGCTTGAGTCTGGTTTTTTCCTGTGAGGTAAAAGGAAAGTCACTAAGTATATCTTATGTCTACCAGAAGGATAGATCTAAGTACAACAAGGGTAAGTAATGAATTATGCATGTTTTGAGGTGAGAGTCAAGGATAAGAAGAGGGCTCACTGTCTGGGCAAATGGACAGAATTTTCCCCTCCCTTCCTTAGGAGGGAGACAGTGGTTGTAAGTCTGTCTGTACTGTGATAGAGGCTTTCCGATGCAATAGGCACAGGGACATTTTTCACAGGCATTAGTAGTGTCTACATTAAGTCATATAGAAGATTTTGTTTGTTGTTTAAAATAGGGTTTCATGTAGGCCAGGCTGATCTGAAACCCCTGAATAGTCTAGGATAATCTTAGATGTCTAATCCTCCTGCCACTATGTTCCAAGTGCTAGCATTTCAGGGATGCAACACCCCACTCAGTTGATGCTGTGCTGAGGGTAGAACTAGGGTTGCCTGCATACCAGGCGTGCACTTTGCTAATTAACTAAAGTATAATTCCAACCCCACATTGTGGATTTTTCTGAGTACTCATTTAATGCTTTAGTGGAAAGTAAAACCCAGTTAGATAGCAGTTTATGAGTTCCTGATTTGTGAGTTGTTGGAATGAAAGCAGAAGTTAGTAGAAAGAACAGTGCCCAGTTTAGAATATCTGTATAGACATCCCAGCACTGCTCTTTTCATGTCATGTGACTAGAAGCAAGTGACTTTCTCCTTTTGGTATATGTTCTATTCAGTGGAATAATTGCTGCAGTGCTTTTAAGAGCATAAAATGGAGTATTGGATGTGTAGATCTTTTTAATGGTGAGGCTCTTCTTAAATTAACTGTGTGGTTTGTGTTAGCCAGTCAGCACATTGTAACTCCTCTTTTAATGGTTCTGTCCAGTTGAGTATCACTTGGCATCAAATATTCAGCGGAACCGTCTGGTCCAGCATGATCTGCAGGTGGCTAAGCAGCTCCAAGAAGAAGACCTCAAAGCTCAAGCTCAGCTCCAGAAGCACCACAAAGACCTGTGAGATCTGGGAAATGGCACTGACATGTGGCATGCCTGTGGGACTGGTAGCTAGGATGGGGAGGGGCCCTCCTATCTCCGCTCCTTTTCTGTCTGGGATTATAAACTGTATGTGGTTGTCCAGTAATTTTTTTTTGAAAAATGTCTTTGTTATTTAAATATGCATTGGGAAATGTTAGTCATGGTAGGCATGTTGTTAGCTGTGACTGAACTGATTGCTATGTCTCTTTCAATTTAGTCTTTTCACCCATGTCATGAAGAAAATAGTCTCTTGTCTTCTGACTGTAAGTTTGTTTGGGGAAAGCATTGGAATAGCAAGACACCAATTCTTTATGCTATAAGGAGTTCCTTAGTTTTTCTTAACTGTGTTTGCTGCTCTGTCTTTTGATTTTCTTGCTTTTCAAGAAGCACAATGTCCTAGAGAGCACTGAGGTGTATAGGGATAGGTTATAAGTGTTGAATATGGCATTTCCTCATAAGATGCCAATTTTGAGGGCTCCTAGGAAGCTAGAAGTGGATTTCAGTCTTTTCTCCCTGGCGGTCTGGCTAGCTGGTACAGTAGGAATTGTAATTAATGGGACCTTAAACTACTGTGGAGCCAGGCTGATCAGTGTTGACTGCTCTTTGCTCAGGTAGTCCTCCTTCCTCATGATTCTGGATAGTTAGCTGACTGAGCTAGAACTAGCCCTACCTGGAAGCAGGCTTTGAAGTCAGTGAAGCCCGGCTTAGGCTGCACTTTCACATCATCATTGTCACTTGTGACCTTTGAAATATCGGTGTGCTTTCCACATTGTGCTTCTGCTTTCTTCTTGTTTATTACTGCCTTCTTTAAGTTTATTTCTTTGTTTTAATTATAATATCCTAACTTTCTTAACTTGTAATGTGAGTTAGTAAGCCTAAATAATTATATATAACTTATTCAGTGACATGAGAAGTCATAGCTCATGATTGACCAAAATTAGGTCTGTAGACTTCATTTAGGGATTTGTTTCATTCTTACTATGTCTTAGAACAAAATCTGATGTGAGCTCCTTTATTCTCTTGTTTTTACTACCTTGTATGTGTATACATGTTGGTATGTATAGACACAAATCTATTTGTAGATACACCTACCGATTTCCAAGAATTTCAATCACCATTTTCTGATACAAATGAAAATTATTTTTATCTCCTCCAGTTTGTTAGAATAGAATATTTGGGTTTTAGTTGCTCCAAAGAAGTTAGGGTTCTCCTGACAGTACTGTCTAATGTAACATGGAATACAACCATGTCTGAGACTCAAATTTCCAGGAATCTGATATCATCTTCTGGTCTCCTTTGGTACCAGACATGTATGTGGTACCTGTAGGTACTTATACATACACATAAAATAAACAGTACATCTTAAAGGGGCTATTTTAAAGGTTCTTTTTCTCTCACCATTCTAAATGATTGCCCTGATTTCTTCCATCAGAATGCACGAAAGAGTTCCTTTTTTTTTTTTTTTTTTTTTTTTTGTTTCCTTTGTGTTTAGCATCATGTTGGGTCTATAGAAAGTGCTGCTTAAATTTCTGGTATGCATTAATACCAAATCAAACAAATAAGCAGCAAACTAAAAACAAGAAACTGTGTTAGCAGCAATGTTTTTAATGTGTAAAGCATGGAGAAAACTGGCATTTTCCAAAGAGGTCTCCATTGGGAGCTACATTTAAGGAATGCAAGCTCCTTTTGACCTTTTCTATTTTATATATATATTAGTGTTCAGTTATAAATTTAAAAGTAATACAGATCATGTTTTGTTCATATGACATTTTAAAAGCCATATTACTACCTCTGATCACAAAATTATTGATGTTTTCATGAACTTGCTTACATTCTTTTTCTGTGTGCCCTGTATTTGGATATTATTGGGTATTGATCTCCTGGCCTTTGCAGCTTCTGCAGAGTTCTGATAGCCCCCAATGTCTTCTTTTAGTGTGGCACCAGTTAGGTGAGGTGAAATACCTTTCATTACAATGGCTGAAGGAGATGCCAGTTTTCTACACAGTCACTTTGTGACCCAATATTTCTCCTTTATTTAGTTGGACATTGATCCTTTTTGTCACTGTCATGCAGATGGAGTTAAAATGTGTAACAGCTTACAGTGAGTATTCAACAACCTGTTCTGTTTAGGAAGAATGTTCCCTTATGTTCTTTGTTTGTATCACCTTTACCTTTGTTTTATAGTGAACAATACGATTGTGAAATTGCTCAGGAAATTCAAGAGAAGCTGACGATTGAGGCTGAGAGACGACGTATTCAGGAAAAGAAGGATGAGGTATGACTTTGTGAAGGGCCCACGCCCATGAAAGAGGTGTAGCTCAGCTCAGCCTTTCTGGATGGTGGCAATCCTCCTCATCTGGAGTGCAGTTGAGCCTGCTGTTTTCTGTGGGCCTTTGTTTATTGCCTCGTGATGGCTTGTACTGGAACTAAACTTTTGTCAATTTGTGAGTTCTTCTTTTTTCTACCTTTCTCCATCCTATTTTCTACCCTTTTAACTCCCTTCTACTAGACATGAGAGAAAAAAAAAGATGGGGAAGAAAGAGATCCCTGAATAAAGTTCAGGTTGGAAAGGGGTGTCATTATCGTTAGACTACTTCCTGACTAGGGACATTGAGCTTCTTTGGGCAAGTTTGATCTTTGCCTCAGAATATCTAACTTGTTTCTTCTTTGGGCACAACTACTTAACAAACTGCAACCAACAACAGCAACCTTACCCCGTCTCTTCCCCTTGGGCCCGTATACACCCTCTGAAAAGTCACCAGAATTCCAGGTGTTACACAATTGCAGAAACTATCTGAGGCTGGCAAAAACCACTCCTTCACTAGAGCATGAGGCAAATAATAGATAGCTGTTGTGGACTATCTGAAGCAGTCCCATATCCCACACCTTGGATAGAAACAGAAGCATATACATATTCTTATAAAGAATATAAAGAAACCAAAACTCCAAAATTCTTACTGCATTGTATCCTGGGGAAGGTGAGTTAGTTCTCTAAGACTACAGAAAAATATTATCTCTGGTGTTGATATATTCTCAGGATACATTCTCAGGAGTGTATTCTCAGAGGAAGTCTAAAGTCAGGAGTTGTCAGTTTCTCTGGGAAGCTGTGTCCCAGCATCCCACGTCAGCCTCTGTATTTATTGTCATAGGGGAGAAAGTCATTACTGGTTCAAGAAGCCTGTCTTAGCCTATGTGACCTTAAATGATTATATCCACAAAGGCCTCAAGTGAGGCCACATTTTGAGGCTCTGAGTAAGTGAATTGCTAGGAACGTTCTTCAGCTTACAAAAGGTCTGCGTCTGGGTCACAGCTTTTGAGAGCAGGCCTGTAGTAGAACCCAGACTAGAGGAAGGGATTAGTTCTTGTGAGGACTCAGGAGCTGGCATTAGTCTCATCGCTCTTGCATGCTCACCCAGTGTATGTGATTCTTCCATCCTTTTTAAAGTTTGTTTTTAAAGTATTTGAATTGTGAGGACATGAATTTGCAGATGTTTGCTCTTCTGTTGTGTTGTGTATTTGCAATACCTTCTTTCACATCTTATGCTGTTGGTATTTATTGTATTGATTTATAGAATGAAGAAAATGATTGGTCAGTTTTAATGGTAGGCTGACAGTCTGTTGGTTATTTATCTAGAAACACCTTTCCTAGCTACAGGAACTGATGCTAATGATCATATAAAACGGGACTGTTGTGCACTATTTGGCATGTGTGTCATTCTTAGATAAGCCAGGGTCATTAGGAAGTTTACTCTCAATCTGTAGAAAGCCACCTCTGCTCAGTTGTTCAGTGATCAGTGAGTGTGAGACATGAGTGTATTTAGCTGTTTGTTAAAGAAACAAATTATGATTATCTGTAATTATAGCTGTAATTAAGAATTAAGGTTGGCTTCTGAGCTCCCTTGTTTTAGTGTCACAAGAGACCTTTTCTTACTTCAGGATGTCTTGCCTCTTTATAGTAAATGCTTTCCTTTGGGATGAAACCGGCTGAAAGAAGTAATTGTACCCAATAGACAGGAAGCTTCTGTTTGTAAATTAACAGATGGATGGTCACTTATAAATGCTACTTGTATTCTCTAGCCATACCACAGTTCAGTAAAACACAGGAGAGAAGGAGAAATCTAACACTTGATTTTAGGTTTGTGGGTTCAAGTAAGCAAGTAGTAATTAATTCGATTTTGTAGAATAAGAAAATAAGCCTAAAATAGTGACTTGTTCCAAGTTAAAGTAAGATACTAGAGAAATGTTTGTACTATTTAGTTCTGACATGTATGTATTACAACACAATATATGTGTGTATTTTAGAGTTGGGATGAACAGGCCAAAATTTTAGCTTTTTAGCTTTTAGCTGTTTGTCACCTTTTCAGGTAAGTTTGTTTTGGGTTCAAAATGACCTGATATGTCAGTTGCATATACCTCTGCAACTGAGAGGCTGTGGTAGAGTTCGAGTGAGATGGCCTGTGAGAGACCTCCAGTACCTATGAAGTTGATAATCGCTTTCCTGTTTGCTTTGTCTGGTTGTTTGTTGTTGTTCCCCCCCCCCCCCACTTCTGTTCCTTATGACAGTATGGCTTTGTTTTCTGGAGTATTTATGTAAAATTAGGGGACTATTAAATAACTTAAGTGTGTTCCAATGTGGTGTGGTTTAAAGGTCTCTTTTCAGACCTTCTGCTTGTCTGCCCTCCACTATGTTTTGACCTGTCTGTCCCATTTTCATAGTAGAACTGAAAAATGAAAAGAAACAGAAAGAGATTTTAGCAACTAAACTTTTATGATTGGCCCATAGAGACTTTCTTCAGATTTTTATTTTATTTTATTTTATTGTCTGCTCAGACTCATGCCTTAGATCAGGATGGCTCCTGTGCAAGGTGCTCTTTGTTCATGGGAAAGCGTGACTTTAGTGGCTGCTCTGTTACCTGCCTCAGATGGCCGATGTTACATTTTCACTGCTATAGCAGCATTCCTCAGAAGCAGAACTGGGGCCACAGGTCTCTGTCCTGATTCAACAAAGCCTTCCTGGTCACTAGTGAATCTTCCTGCTTTACCCCATCCACCACCTTCTTCTGCTCTCCCTGTGGCCTCCATGACTCTGCTTAGTTAATTGTCAGGAGTGTGTAGCTGCGGAAATTTTTTTTTTGAATTTTCACCTAAATCTTTGGAGTTTCTGTGTCGCCTTCCCTGAGTAGTTTATCCCACCCCTACGCTTTCCCCCAAAAGAACAAAGCCTCTTTCCTCTTGGGTCAGAGATATTTTTCTAAACAGTGTTGTTCGTGAGACAGCATAGACGTATACGGCTTTGTGTCGGTGAGTGAACATTTTCAGCTATTACAGTGTTTATTATAGTTACCATTGTATGTGTTAACAGAGAGCAGATGTTAGGAAAGTTCAGGGAGACAGATGGAGAAAAAAGGGGCAGGGAGGTTGTATGGTTAGCATTAGGAACCTCTTCTAGTCTCCATTTCCCCCACCTCCTTCTTCTTTCTCACTATACCTCCTCTTCCCCTTTCTCCTTCTCTTCTCCCCGATCTTCGTGTCACCACACACAGTTCTCCTATTTCTTTTCTGTTTAAAAACAAACAACACTTTTATGTAGTGTGTTGAATACCAGTTAAAATTTTCCCTAGGTGCCCCGTTGGAGAAGTTTGTAGCCATAGGTTGTACTATACTAGTAGAAGTTGAGATGAGGACTTGTAGGTGTATTCTATTTTGATGTGTATCTCTTTAGTCATAAACAGTTGTTACTGTTTGTTAAATAAGCCCAAAGAATACATATTTAGCTGACTTAACCACAATTCTTATAACTCTGTGTGTATGTATGACATGGTTTTATCTCTTGCTCTCTGTGTGCATGCACAGGCATAATATATGTTGTACATTTAAAACTTGGTCCAGATACCTGTGATATGCAGTTATTTTAGGAAAGTGTTTTTTTAATATATATTTTATTTATTTATTATGTATACAATGTTCTATCTGCATATACACTTGCACGCCAGAAGAAGACACTAGATCTTATTATAGATGGTTGTGAGCCACCATGTGGTTTCTGGGAATTGAACTCAGGACCTCTGGAAGAGCAGGCAGTGCTCTTAATCTCTGAGCCATCTCTCCAGCCCCCGAAAGTGTTTTTTTTTTTTTCCTATGTAAATATTAGTGTAGCCAGCCCTGTCATGCAAGATTATGGTTCTTGTCTCACAGTTTGAAGCCATCTGTACTATAAACTGCTCAGAGATATACTTAGTAACCAATTATAATCAAAATGAATCCAGTGTGAGCTGTGCTTATTCATAGCACTCTCACAGTATTGAGACTACACAAAAGTATATTTATATGTTTGTTATTATGAGACCAGTTCAAATAGCAATAAATTTCATTAGTACAGTTTTTGCTGTGTTTTGAACTGCAAACTACTTGTATACATGTGTAGCAGAAAAGCAGAGAGAGGGAGGCTTGTAGTTAAGAAAACCATCTTCTTATCCTAGTGATGTTGCTACGTTTATGCTTCTATCCTTTTCTAGTTTCCCTATTTTTATAGGGTAACCCTTGATAGTATACGTGCTTGGAGGCCCCTCCTCAGTTAGGTATTCACATATTAAACACTAACTAATAAAGTAGAATAGCAATCTAATTGAGTGGTTTTGATGCCCCCATTTTCCCTCATTACTGGCAGTTATCTAAAGCTTGTATTTTTAGGTATCTTTTTATTTTTAAATTAAAATTTTCTTTCCTTGAAAACTCATGATGATTGGAGGACAGAGGTGAAAACCAGAAGGGAGAACTAATCCTGACACAATCCTGTGCAGTGTAAAAGTACTTTATCTTGAGATTCACTAGAATGTTCCCTCTGGGAAAGAGCAGAGAGTTGCCTGGGGTTGCATTAGTGGCTGTCCTAGAGCACTGAGCTGTATGCCCTATATTATTCTCCTGTGTTTTGCCACTTGATAGATGAGGGTTAGGGTGTTGGTGTGTGTGTGTGTGTGTGTATACGTATGTTTATTAATTTTGTATCCAGCTACTTTGCTGAAGGTGTTTTTTAGCTGAAGGAGTTCTCTGGTTGAATTTTTGGGGTCGCTCATGTATACTGTCATATCACCTGCAACTAGTGATACTTTGACTTCTTTATTTCCGATTTGTATCCCCTTGATTTCCTTTAGTTGTCTTAATTGCTCTGGCTAGGACTTCAAGTACTATGTTAAAGAGATAAGGAGAGAGTGGGCAACCTTGCCTTGTCCCTGATTTCAGTGGGATTGATTTAGGTTTTTCTCCATTGAGTTTGATGTTGGCTATCGGCTTGCTGTATATTGTCTTTACTATGTTTAGATATGTGCCTTGTATTCCTGATTTCTCCAAGACTTTAAACATGAATGAGTGTTGGATTTTTTTCAAATGCTTTTTTTGGCATCTAAGGAGATTATCATGGGAGATTTTCTCCTTCAGTTAGTTTATATGATTGATTACATTGATGAATTTCTGTATATTGAACCACCCCCTGCATGCCTAGAATGAAGCCAACATGTCATGGTGAATGATATCTTTTAGGTGTTTTTGGATTTGGTTTGCAAGTATTTTATGGAGTATTTTTGCATCAATATTCATAGGAGAGATAGGTCTGAAGTTCTCTTTTTTTTTTTTAATTGGGTCTTTGTGTAGTTTAGGTATCAAGTTGACTGTTGCTTCATAAAATGAGTTTGATAATGTTCCTTCTGTTTTTGTTGTTGTTTTGTTTGTGGAATAGTTTGAAGAGAATTGGAGATAGCTCCTTTGTAAGTACAGTAGAATTCTGCACTGAAATCACCAAGCTCTGGGCTTTTTTTTGGAAGGGATACTTTTGAAGACTGCTCCTATTTCTTTGGGCAATATAGGAGTATTCAACTTATTTTCCTCATCTTGATTTAATTTTGGTAAATGGAATCTATCAAGAAAATTGTCCATTTCATTTAAATTTAAATTTTCAAACTTTGTGGCATATAGGTAAGACCTAATGATTGTTTGGATTTCATCATTGTCTGTCATTATGTTCCCCCTTTTGTTTCTAATTTTGCTGACTTGGATAGTTTCTCCCTTCCTTTTAGTTAGTTTGGCTAAGGGTTTGTCTATTTTGTTGATTTTCTCAACAAAACCAAGACCAAGAACCAGCTCTTGTTCTCATTGATTCCCTGAATTGTTTTCTTTGTTTCTATAGAAATTGATTGATTTCAGCTCTGAGTTTGATTATTTCCACTCTTGTACCGTTCTTGGCTGTGTCTGTTTTTTTTTTTTTTCCCCTAGGGCTTTTACATGTGCCATTAAGTTGCTTGTATGAGATGTCCCAGATTTCTTTCTGGGGGTATTTAGTGCTATGAATTTTCCTCTTATCACTGCTTTCATTTGTCCCATAAGTTTGGTTAAGTTGTGCCTTCATTTTCATTGAATTTTAGGATGTCTCTAATTTCTTTCTGTATTTCTTCCTTACCAAGCTGTCATTGAGTAGAGAATTGTTTAGTTTCTATGTGTATGTAGGCTTTTTGTTATTTCTGTGTTGTTGAGGTCTAGTTTTAAGCCATGGTGGTCTGATAGTATATAAGGGATTATATCGATCTTCTTGTATTTGTTCAGGATCGCTTAGTGCCTGAATATATGGTCAATTTTTTAGAAGGTTACATGAGGTTCTGAAAAGAAGGTGTACTCTTTTGAGTTTTGGTGAAAAGTTCTGTAGACATCTATTAGGGCCATTTGATTTAGGGCCTCTGTAAGTGTCTTTATTGCCTCTTTAAGTTCTGTCTAGATGATCTGTCTGTCCCTTGGTGAGAATGAAGTGTTGAAATCTCCCACTATTAAGGTATTGGGATTGATGTGTGATTTAAATGCTATAATGTTTCCTTTACAAATGCAGGTGCTCTTGTAGTTGGGGCATAGATGTTCAGGATTGTGATATCCTCCTGGTGAATTTTTCCTTTGATAAGAATGATGTGTTCCTCCACATCTCTTTTGATTAATTTTGGTTGAAAGTCTATTTTATTAGAAATTAGGATAGCTATTGCAACTTGTTTTTTGAGTGCCTTTGCTTGAAAAACATTTTCCAGCTCTTTATTCTGAGGTAGTGTTTATCTTTGTTGCAGAGTTATGTTTCTTGGATGCAGCAGAATGTTGGATTCTGTTTCCGCAACCGTTCTGTTAGTCTGTGTCTTTTTATTGAATCGTTGAGTCCATTGATGTTGATAATAGTGATCAATGAATGTTAGTTCCTTTTATTGTGGATTTGGTGTTACTGTGTTTCTATGCTTGTTTTCTTTTAATTTTCTTGTTGTCAAGTTATCTATATCCTGTCTTTTCTTGGATATAGTTGATTTTGTTGGATTGCAGTTTTCCTTTTAGTATCTTCTGTAGGGCTGGGTTGTGTGTAGATATTGTTTAAGTTTAGTTTTGTCATGGAATATTTGTTTCCTCCGTCTATGTTGATTGAAAGCTTTGCTGGGTATAATAGTCTGGGTTGGCATCTGTGGTCTCTTAGAGTCTGCATGACATCTGCCCAGGCCCTTCTGGCTATCATAGTTTCTGTTGAGAAGTCTGGTGTGATTCTGATAGGTCTGCCTTTGTTACTTGGTCTTTTTACCTCACTGCTTTGAATATTTTTTCTTTGTAGATTTAATGTTTTGATTATTATGTGATGTGAGCTGTTTCTTTTCTGGTGTAGTTTATTTGGTGTTCTGTAGTCCTCTGTTATGTTAATGGACATCTCTTTCTTTAAGTTGGGAAATTTTTTTTTTTCTATGATTTTCTTGAGAATATTTTCTGGACTTGGAGTCTAGAATATTCTTTTTTGTCTATTCCTGTCATTCTTAGATTTCATCTTTTCAGGGCGTCCTTGAATTTTTGGATGTTTTGTGTTCTGATTTTACTTTTTCTTTGATAGGTGTCTCAATTTCTGCAATTGTATCTTCAGCACCTGAGATTCTTTCTTCCATCTCTTGTATTTTGTTGGTGATGCTTACCTTTGTGGTTCCTGGTCTTTTCTCTAAGTTCTCTAGCTCCAGGCTTTTCTGTTTGTGTTTTCTTTATTGATTCTAATTCTGCTTTCATGTCTTTCATCTGTTGAAATGTGGATTTCTGTCTTCCCATCATGGCCTCTATTTTTTTATTTGTTTTCTCTTTATGTGCCTCTTTTTGTGTCGCTCTTTCTTTGAGATTTTTGTTGGTTTCCTTTTTACGTGCCTCTAATAATTCAATAAGCAGAGGTTTAAATTCTTTTTCCTTTGTTTCTGATGAATTAAAATATCCATTGATTTTGAGTGTTGCTGATGAAGCCATGATATCCTGGTTTTTGTTGGATGTGATCTTATACTGACCTCTAGCCATCTGCTTATCTGTAACCTTTGCTGTTTGTTCCTGGAGTCTGTATTTCAGAGTGGGTCCATCTGTCTCTGGAGTCTGGAGTGTTCTCTAGGAAGATTAGAGAGGTCTACCAGTTGGAGAGTGGCTACTGGTGTTTCAGCAGTAGCTAAGTAAGGAAGGTCGCAAGCGCATGTGTGCAAGTATGGTTGTGTGTGTGGAAGTGTGCCTTGAAGGATAGGGTGCTAGAGTATGTAGATGCCTGGAAGGGTAGAGCTTAAGCGCAGAAGGCTGTGCTGGCACTGTTCGTGGGCACAGTGCGTATGTGCAGGTGCCCTGAATACTTCAGTGTCCTACAGGCCTGTTGTACTATCTTAGTATTCAGGTCTGTCTGGGCTCCAGGAATTGTTTGCCTGGATTCCAATAGTAGACCCACAGAACAGGGACTTAAATGTTTAGAACGCTATCACAAAGATCCCTATGTTACCAAAGTGGGGGTGTGGGTGGGAAGGATCAGATGTCTGGCTGCCAGTGTAGAGGGGCCCTGGATCTGGGGCTCTGCACACACTCACCAGAAGGTTCCCTAACTCTCTCGCAGGCCTAATCATAAAGCACAGGGGTTCCTCCTGTTCTCTACACTCAGCTTTGCACCTACAGGAGCAAATGAGAGTTTTGGAGAGGCGTTAGTTCAGTGGTGTCCACTGTTGGCCCATGGGCAGGGAGACCCATACTTGGGGCAGCTACCTCTTCTATCTTAATCACTGATCATGGAGGTTCGTGCTAGGGCTAGCTGTCACCTGCCACAGCTACAGACCTGGTGTGCCAGTCCTGCTGCAGCATGGAAGTTCCTGCTTGGGCTAGCTGCTGCCCTCCACAGCTGCAGACCTGGTGTGCCAGTCCTGCTGAAGCTACAGTCCTGGGAGGCCCACCTCTGCCATCTCAGTCACTGAGCTTGTGTTTTGGGCAGTGCTGAGCAGGGACGCCCATGCATGGGGCAGCTGCCACTGCCCGCTGCTTCTGCCGAGCTGGGCTGGGAGGCCTGTGCTTGGGGCTAGGGAAAGTACATGGGAGTTGAATATTTGCCACTCTCAGTCCTTGGAGACATCCACGGGTGATCTGGGTACAAACTGTCTCAGCTCATGGGTTGTTCCCTCTCGCCTAGGAAGCCTCAATGTCTATGTTATGGCTTCAGCTGCCCTTCCACTCACCAGTTTCAGAGTTTTGGGTCCTGTGCCCCTCAGATATGGTTTGCACTGGTTGCTACCATCTTGGACTGCCCCTGCTTTGATTCTTTTCATAAATTTACCTTGCTTTATTTTTTAATTAGGAAAAAATAAAGCCTAGCTTGCATTTATGGATTATGTGTCCTTGTTGTGGAGCAGTCATGTTGGCATTTGAATGACATTTGATAAATGGCAGGTTGAAGAGCCTTAGACAGCAGAGAAGAGCTGACAGGAGAAAGTCTAATTCCATTGTGTCAGCCTTGTTTATTCTATAGTGATATTGTTTTGTTTTCCTTTTTGTTTTTGTAGGACATAGCACGTCTTTTGCAAGAAAAGGAGCTAAAAGAAGAGAAAAAGAGGAAGAAACACATTACAGACTCTGCTGGGGGCAGTGCTTTTGGAGATAGCTACTATTATGAAGATGGAGGTAACAGCCAATGCCGGAATCCTGTCCTGTCCTTAGCCTCAGCCACAAAACTCCCTTTTCACTTGGTCCCTAAAATCAGCTGAGGATTCCAAGTCATCTCTTGTATCTCAGGCTTTGGGTGCATTTAGATTTGTAGCAGTATTCTATTTGATTTTTAAATTTATATTCTATTTTATTTTAATGACTGTATTTTGTATTTACATGACAGTCATCTTTTGACTTGAAACTTTAATATGGCTTTCCAGCACCTATGCACTCTTACGTGTTGAAGCCATTGTGTGCTGTACTATTTTATAAGTACAAAATATGTGGTGTGGGAAATGGTGGGTGCGGTTCTGAACTTACCATTTTCCTCAGAGATGGCTGAGCAGTGTTGTGCATCAGTCATAGGAAAAAGAGCTTTCTTCTCCCCTCCTTCCTTTCTGATGACCTACAGTACCAAACTGAAAGTCACTGTTGTTCATGGTCTTGATGATTACTCTGCTGCTTGATTACCACAAAATTAGTTTGTGAGAGAGAGTCCCATGGGTCCCATGCGTCTAGTGCCTGCTTTTCAGTGTGGTGGCGGTGATGGTATGGTAGGGTGACCTGTCTCAAACGTGTGTTGGGAACAGAACATTTCCAGACATAAAACTTAATTCAGCTCTTTCAGAAATTTGTCAAACAATGGAAATTTCTTCTAGTTCCATGCACTACTGATTTTTGAGGTTTGATTTCAAGACTATGTTTCTAGGGATACCAGTGAACAAAACTAAAAGACAACTTAGTAAAAATTCACAAAATGATCCTAGAAGGCCTTGAAAACTAGTTATCAGCTTCTTTAAAAAAAAATTCTATCACATAAAAGTAAGTGTGCCTTTGCCTTTAATGAGCAGAGAGAATGTACAAAAACCTTATATACCATATATATATGTATATATATATATGGCTAGATTATTGTAATTTGAGAATAATATTACTTACTCCCTTCCCCCACCCCTACAAACATGATTAAAATTGGTTAGCAGTCAGCTCTGTGGCCTGTTTCCGAAGTAGCTTGACTTTTTTCTCCATAAACTCTACTCTTTTTAATAGAGATCTTCTTATGCTCATTTTTCTTCTGAAATTATATATTACATCTTATACAAACAAAGAAAAATTCTTGCCAATGCATTTTATAGTAGGAACCAGAAAGTATAGTTATTTATTGTTCTTTAGTGTCAAATAAATATTAGAAATGCAGAATTTGGGGTGATGGTGGGTTTTATGTACTTTTAAAATTTGTTCTTGAAGCATGTTCACTGTAATAAAAATAGCTTAAATTGTTTAGTGTGTGTTAGTGCCTGTGCACTGCATGTGCCTGTGGAGGCCAGAAGAGGGTGCTGGAGCTTCTGGAACTAGAGTTGCAGATGCCTGTGAGCTGCCATGTGGGTGCTGGGAATCAATCCCAGTCCTCTGGAGGGGCAGCCAGTGCTCTTCACCACTCGAGCCGTCTCTCCATCCTCTTTGTTTTAAAGTTTTAAGTCTGCAAAACATTAGGATAGCAGAATGGTCAACTAAAATTCCCATTTTAGCTACCTGTATTAAAATGCTAATGCGAACTTAAGCAGGTACTGAAGCCTGTGTGTTGGATCACAGTACTGGTATCCTGAGGAACCTTAATGGTAGGAGACTATTTAAACATTTTGTGGTGCTTTTTTTTTTTAAACACCTAAAATTATACTTAGTTACTTTTATAAAACTTGTAGAAAGTGGAATAAATGCTTGTTTCAAGGTACTGAGATAATATTAAGGAATAGGAAATGTTGGCTACTCTGAGCTTGTATAGACACTGGTATTTCTTTTGCCTTGGCTATAGTATATGTTGTTGACTATGCAGTTCTCATTCATATGCCTCTGAGGTAGACCAGACTGGAGCCCATAGGGAGTATGGTACTCAGTCTGTCTTACAAAGCAGCTCTTATGCTCGGTGTAAGGGTTCTTTCCCAACACACATGATCAGTTCTTGAATTCTGCTTCTTTATCTTTTTTAGTTTGATTTTTTGTCTTAATTATGTAAAAATCATAGTGTATCAGTATGCTTGTCCTTTCAGCTTTTGCTGTACATAAGCTTTAATTAATCTCAAAAATTATCAATTATGACTTAGATTTTACATTTGAAATTATCCAAAATCTTTGTGAAATATTTGTAGAAAATTAGCATACATTATTCATTTGTGAATCCATGTTTTTCTTCAAAACTACTTGCCATGTATCGTGTTTATATTTCTGATTGTTTCTTAATCTATGAATACCCTTTAAAGACTATTACTTCAGCTTCTTAGGACAATTTGTTACTTGACGAAGTTATTTACTCTGACTTCCCTAAAAATGTATTCTCACATATATTTTGAAAAGATCAAATAATGTGATTTTGGTGAATGACTTGTGAACTTTAAAGTTTATTTAATGTTTCATATATATATATATATATATATATATACATTTTATTTTTAAAAATATTACTTTGAATGACAAACATGGAGACACACATTTAAAATGTAGATAAATTTGTATATGTGTGTGTGCCATACATACCACATATAGATTGCCACTGAAGGCATTAATTATATTTGCTAAATAACTAGGTCTCCAGAACATCCACGTTTCTTTCTGTAACCGGAAGGGGTTGGGAAGGGCTCAAGTAGAATCCCTCACTCTAGTCTTATCTAGATTTAAAGATGCAGTCACAAGTAAACTATAGAAAACAAAACTGTCATCAATTCAATATTTAGGACAATGTTAAAAACTCACGGCATCAATAACTGCACGTTTAAACAAAAACTTTGTGTTTGTTTTGAGCTTAATGATGGACTCCACTCATATAGCTCCATGAACACAATGCTGTAGACACTGTAGACCACCTCTGAATGTGGTCATCATTTAATAGCTCATCAGTATTACATTAATTCTTTTCAGTAGACAGTTACCTATTGTGAAGACAGTTAATGGGAGTTAAAAGAGCAGGTGGTTTTATTATAAAAACCACTACATTTAACTTTTATTTTTATGTCAAGTACAAATTTGACTATGAACTATGGAGAAAATCTTTTTATAAATATCTGTTGAAGAGAACATATTTTACTCTAGACCCATTCTGAAGGAAATTTCTTTTCTTTAGGAAATGTAAAACGAAACTGAGGTTGTTGAGTGGAAGCTATTTTATCAGTGTTGACTTTAGTGCATACTTTTCTTCTTTACATACATACAATACTTTATGTACTTTTCTTTATAGTCAAATTCCTGGACACAACCAAAACTCCTTAAGTATGCCTACTCATGGAAGCTCTTTCAGAGTTCAGCAAATGATTGATTAAAGCAAGGAACGGCTTAGTTTTCTGAGCATTTTTTTTTCATGGATTAAGAATTTCTTTTTACTATTTCTGAAGAATAGAAAAATGCTTTTAGAAATACTACAATTACTATGGCCTTGTGAAGTGCTTATTAATTTGCTTTGTTTTTAGCATATGCTTGGATTTGATAAGATTCTATGAAAGCACCTATGTATGTGGTGGGTTTTTTTTTTAAGCTAAGGAACTTTTATAGTTTATTCTTTACTTTTTTGTATAGAAGACTCTGGATGTTTTTGAAATATATTTGGAAGATGACCCCTGTTAATATGGCATTCCATATGGCATTCCATTTTTTTTAGCTTTTTCCTTGCCAAGATCCAACTAAAATAAGGAACAGAATTACCCCAGTATAACAAGTCATTTGTTCCTTAACAGTCTCCTTCACTGAACTAACATTATCCTCCTCCTTCCACATTGAGCTAGAACCTGGGCTTTCCCAGAGGTATCTGGGTATGCTTGTTTTGGACACATGTGGGGAGATCTGTGAATAATTTTGAACTAGGCAGAAGTCAGGAATATTGTGCTACATCTTCACTATTGTTTCAGTGAGAATGCCTCGAGATCTACAACCGAAACCTCATTCTCTTAAAAAACATCACTGTATTACAAAACTTAAGAGCCTCTGATTGTTAGCAGCTATTCCAGAGGCAGATTGGCTTTATGAAGTAGCATCTGATGATTGTTGTCAGTCATTTTGTTATTGGCAAATATGAATATGCTAAGCTCTTCCTAATTATGGTCAGATTCTTTCAGATTCAAATGATTTCCCTTATGTTTTGCTTTTTACCTTTTGGCTATGTATGCATGGACCATTCTGGTCAGTATTCATCTCCACATCTCAATTTGTAAGTTTCAAAGCAATTTTATCCACCTAAAATTATGTTAGTATTGGGTCGCTGTGTAGTCAATTTATTCATTAAGTCATCTATTTTTAATTTTATACCCTCTACCTCCACTCAGACCAGCCAAGGTCAAGGAGGGCCAGGGAATTGGGTTCTGGACACTCACGGTTTTGTAGTCTCCAAAATGATGGGAAGATGATAAAGCAAAAGAAGCAAAAACCGAGGCATCTGCGAGAGAACATGGAAGAGCTGGAAGAACACTGTGCTTCAGACAGAGCCCTGCCTTCTAGCTGGGTCAGACGGAGGGAGGATGCACAGATCTCCAGTGAGCAGCATGAAAGAAAACAGATTGGTCAAGAAAGGCTCTGGAAATCTCCACTCCCAAAGATCAGCGGGGAGGTATTTCTGAGCACTGAATCTTTTGGCCACTGGGAAGCTAACATTAGCCCTCGAACTAGGAGTTGGGAAAAACAGTCCGGACACCATGGCAGACATTCACCCAAGTCTTCACAGAAAAGAGGGCTTCCCTGTAAGGAAATTGTGTATGGGAGGGACCTTGGGCAAGGTGATCACAGAGAAAGGAGACATAGGCCCAAGATTCCTCCCTTCTCAGAGGATGAAGAACTTGACTACCACCATGATGCAGGTAATGCCCTGTTGGAAGTACTGTATGTAAAGCCAGTCAGTTTAATATGCTTCTCAAGCAACCTCTGTCTCTCTTCAGTTTGAACTCTTCTTATCCTTCAAATGAATCTTGGAGTCAGATACTATGTGAAGTATCTCATTGATCTTAGGTCTGTAGGAAGAAGGAAATATCTGTACTATTCTCCTGTAATAGTATACTGTGTTCTTGAAGGGTATGTTCTTGAAGGGTTCTCCCGGACCAAGTTGTAAGAGCACAGTCCATCCCAGATACTAGTCATTGTTTGCCTCAACCATTACTTTTATGTTTGAATATGCAACTCTTCACTCTGCAGTTGTTGTTCTAAATGCCATGATATACAAGTTCTCAATACTTGTAAAGAAACAAGGAGGGTAAGGGGTAGGAGGAAGACTCAGTGGATGAATCCCTTACTACATGGGTATGAAAACAGTCTCTAGAACCCATAAAAAAGTCAAGTAGCTTTAGCAGCTGTCTGTAGTGCCTGCACTCAGGAGACAAAAACAGAGGATCCCTGGAACAATCTGGATAGCTACTCTAGCCAGAAAAAGGTTAGCTCTGAACTCTGCAAGAGACCTAGCTTCAATGTATAAAATTGAGAGGGAGTAAAATACAAACAAACAAACAAACAAACAAACCACCAGATACCTGCACTGCAGTGGTCAAACATACATAGATTAACACAGCCCACACCCATGAACATGCATACTTTTATACTGTGTGTGTGTATGTATGTGTATGTGTAATTTAAAATAAAAGAAATTGGTTGTATGTAGGACATAACTTTTAGGTTTTGGGCACTCCTGCCACTTAGCCCTGTAGTTCAACATGGACACTGTTAGAGGCACTCTTTCTTGTCTGGGACATACTAAGGGAGAACTTTCCTTGTGGCTATAACACAGTCATGACACTATAACATGTGTAACTTTAACAGACATAATATCCATCATTCTGGTTTCAGTCAGTGTTTACTAAGTTTTACAGAGATGGAAAGGTTATTGAAACAAGTTTCAAGGAAGACATGCTGTGGTCAATCAAAGTTTGATTGTGACTGCAAAACTGTTTTCTAGGTTGCAGATTCATTCTGCCTCTGTTGGCTTTTCATCATTAAAAACAAGGCTTGGCTATAAGAAAAATTACATTTTAGTTTATTGTATCTCATATTACAGACTTGGTTATAAGGAAAATTACATTTTAGTTTAGCAAGCTATAGTGAATACTGTAGCTCCTGCTGCTTTGACTTATGCCAGGGTCTAAGCTTCAGAGAGTGATGGATATATTTAAAAATGGGTAAATAAACACTTTCATATTTGATGTGCCATGTTTGGAAGATATGAACAAATAGCTGGGAGAATACAGAAGAGGGTGATGGAGTTCATTAGGTAGGCTTATGAGGAAGTTACACTATAGCTAGATTAAACATGTTAGAGTTCCATGGGTTAGAGGAGAGGGTTGGTGATTCCATGACCTCTACATAAGGATTCTGTGAACCTAATATGAATGTTTTTAAAGAGCAACTTAACCTTTAGGGCATTTAGTTATGCACCAGGGTTTTTAACAGATTTGGGGACCTGAAACTAAGCACCAATTGAGACTCTCTGGCACTGCAGCTGTAAGTAACAGTTTCCTCTGGTAACACAAGGACACAGTGTGGCTACAGCTACTAAAATGCTTGTTGTGTGAAATGGATACTTCTTACTGTTTTATGCTCAGTCTGCTTCAGACCTTTAGCATTCCCAGATCTTATTGGTGTTTGGTTTTGAACTTCTTGACATGGTCAAGAGATTACATTAAGAAATAATAATTGGATACGGGGTCAGCTCTTGATGATGTAAGCAGTTACAATTCTTAAACATATGGTGTATGCCGGATTCTAGTTTAGTTAACAATGAATAAACTGGCATGATGACAACCTTGAGTCCAAGTGCTTCTGCAGAACAGTGGTACAAGAAATCAGCTGAAAATGAAATTGCTAAATTAAAGTGAGAATTGGTTGACTTTCCATAAAGTAGTTAAACTAGGTCTAACTGGAACTCATTGTGCTATACATCTGTGCTAGCTTATTGGTTATACAAACTAACGTTTCACCTTCTAGGACCTTAAATATTCTACTTACTACTGTAAATTCTGGCTCAGATACACCATGATAGGCCCTGAATGTCAAATGGCTTCTTATAAAATATTCATACATAAAAGATACCAAAAACCCATCAGTTAATTTTTTTTCAATTCATAGTTTGTGTAAATTTATCTTCAATGCTAGTCGTTTAGTTTCTTTTTGATTGCAGGCAGCAAAACCCACCTCTATTCTCAGTACTTGGGAAACAGAAAAAGGAAGAACCTTGTGATTGGAAGGCCATCCTGGTCTACATAGTGAGTTTTAGGACAGCCATGGCTACATAGCAAGACATGGTCTAGTGAACTCTCCCATTTATCTTACTGTATCAAATTTTATTTAAAGAGAATAATATATTGGTGTTTCTTTGGGAAGTCATTGTCTTCCCTGACTTCAGGGTGTTAACCAGAAAAGACAAGAAACAGGTTCACTATGGGAACTGGAGGTTTTGCTCAGGGTAGAGCATTTGCCTAGCATGGTCATTTGTAGTACCACACAAAAAGAGTGAGGGAGATGGAGAAAGAAGGGAACAGCTGAGATGCAGCTCACCTATTTAAAAGCAGCTTCCAGATTCTATTTAGAATCCCAAGATGTACAGTTGTCTCTGTTTTTACAGTGACAGCTTTCCTGCACACTGTGTACCTACAAACTTTCGCATCACTTCACGTTCGGGGGGCACCACAGTTGCGGCGAGGCTAGTCCTGCCTGTCCAGAAATGCATTGTCTTATGCTGTGAAAATTTCTACGAAGTGAAAATAGCAAATTTCAGTGATGTGCAAGGAGCTGAGTGAATCCTTTGTTATCATCTGTGTAGTTGAGCCTAAGAGAGCTACTACCTTAAATTCTGAATTCTATTAGTGGATCTGTACTTCTTTTAAACAGATAGTAGCTATAATCTTATCCCTGTCAGCTTAATAAGACTATTCATTTGACTATATCTTTGTTAGAATTTAAAATGAAATATTCCCATAATTAATATAGAAGAACTCATTAGCGGAAAATGTTGAATGTTTTGAAAGCTGAGTGTTATCTACCCGTAACATTTCCCTAGGTAAAAACTCAGAGGCACAGTCTATTACCCTAGCAAGAGATTAGGTTGTTGACTGCACTTGTCTCTTTTCTGTAGATTGGCCTGTGATACAATTACCTGTTCACTCACTTTACCGAGTGTCAAATTCCCTACTTTAGTTGTTTTCTCTAAAAATCTGCCTTTCTAAATATGGTCATGCAAGTTATAATTCAGACAAGTTTATTTACCCAAGTGCATATGCTCCATTCTTTTAATTTAATTTAATTTTTTTTATTATTAGTTACATTTTATTAACTCTCTATCCCAGCTGTATCCCGCTCCCTTATTCTCTCCCAATCCCACCCTCCCTCATCTCCTCCCTGCCCCTTTCCAAGTCCACTGATTGTGGAGGACCTCCTCCCCTTTCATCTGACCCTGTTTTATCAGGTATCTTCAGGACTGGCTGCAAAGTCCTCCTCTTTGGCCTAGCAGGACTGCTCCTCCCTTGGGGGGTGGGAAGGTCAAAGAGCCTGCCATTGAGTAGTCCCTGTTCCCCTTACTATGGAAAACCAATTGGTTACTGCTACCACGGGCTTCATCTGAGCAAAGGTTCTAGGTTATATCCATACATGGTCCTTGATGGAGTGTCAGTCTCAGAAAAGACCCCTGTACCCAGATATATTTGGTCCTTGTGGAGCTCCTATTCTTTCCACGTCATACTAACTCCCCTTCTGCCGAACACTGCTAGGTAGAGTCTTGGGACTATCCCAAACCAGTCAGAAATCTGTTGTATACCAGGTCAGATCAGCATAAGGATTTAGTATCACTAGAGGTAATTTGTGGTGCTCTGTGCTATCAGGTCCTGGGAAGTGTGAGTTATGAAAGACAAGCTTTTTCATCATTTTTTATGATAAGATGCACATATGTGAGTCTACATTTTAAATTTACCAGTGTTAGATAGAACGTCTACAAAAATAGGTTTTGTAAAATAAATCAAAAATCTTCAAATTTAGGTTTATTTTATGTGTTAACTTTTGAATCAAATGTATTGAGGTATTTTGCTAGCTGTTATTTTAATATATATTTATGTTGACAGTTCTTTGTTTCTTGAAGGTAAGAACCCATTGGGAAGGCTTAAAATAGATGCATAAGGCAAGAGTTCACCCCACATACCCAAGTTAGAATAGATGGTGTTAGGTCAAGCACTCAGTAGTGATTCTTGTAGTTGAGGTTGGCTCTGACCAGTAATGCACAGAGAGTTCATCAGAATATATTGGGTCTCCATTTCGTGTTTACTGATAGTTATGCTAGGTACCTAATTTGTGGATTCCATATTTCTGAGGGCAATTTGTTCATCCTGGTGACTAACTGTAATCTACAAATATATGCAAAGGGAAGTACTCACAGTTTTGAAATGACATTAATTTTTGCCTTATTTTGAAATTTGTAGTAGGGTATGTGCTTCTATAACATTGCAAAGCAACAAAGCTAATTGTCAGCCGGATCTCTTCATTGCTTTTTCTCTAGAGGAACATAATTGTAATGTTACTGCATTCTCTGATATTTCCTCTATGTTATGTTTTTCCTAAAATTTTGTAGTGTCATTAAGAGATAGGTCAAAGCTTTAGGAAAGATGTAGGGCAAATGATTTTGTGTATTAGAGGGTAGATGGGCCATTTTTGACACATTTCACCTCACTTTTAGATGACTCTGTTGCTCTGCAGGAAGATGCACAGGCTACGGGAACTGAAGGGAAGTTTTTGCTTTGTTGTCTGAGCCATATTAAAACTTGAATCTGGAACATTTTCTGTGAATTCTTTTCACTTTCAGTGGCTTTTTGTTTTTTCTCTTTTCTGTTCCTCTTTTGAAGACTCACTTTTTTGTTGTTGTTGGTCTGGTTTCCCACATGACTTTCTGCTGTTGAGGAAACTATATGAGAAATGTTTCTACAAGGTGTATTTGGGAAAATAACTTTGTTCAAATGTTTAAATTGTATGTGTTACTATTTGATGTGAAAAGTCATTTCACATGTGCACCACACTGCAATCTATGAAGGTGGCAGTATTGTTAGTGTTAAATATTAAGGAAGAATGTCTTTTTCCTAATATTTTCATCTTTTCAGAAAACAGCCCCAGTTCCCTCATTGAATTGAGTTTTTTCTAGGAATGAAACCAAGAGGAATAAAAGAAACTGTTTCTACTTCAGCACGAGTGAGCCACAGGGATCAGGAATGGTATGATGCTGAAATTGCCCGAAAATTGCAAGAGGAAGAACTTTTGGTGAGTATGTTTAAGGTAAAAGTTCAAGCAAAGTAGTAGGGCTGTATGTGCAAGCTGAATCATAATTCAGTTATGTAATTAAACATTATAGAGGTCCATTGTTGGCATTATGATTCCATCAGTTGAAAAACTGGTGCCTTTTATAGGGGTGGGGAAAATCAAGACAGTGGACGTAGATTAGAATATATTCCCACTTACTTATGGTTTACTTTATGTAGTTTTGGTAGTTTGGGATTAAAAGTAAACACTTTGAGTGCATTATTATTAAAAGTGGTGCCTTCCATTATTGGGGTTATTAATCTTTTCCTGTGGCTGATTTGTAAATTAAACCATTTTGAGTCTGTATGCATTGGAAAAATAATCTTCGTAGGGTTCAGCAGTTTTAGACATTCATTTAAGTTATAGGAATGTATCTTATTGGATAGTAGACCTTTTATATCTAGCTCTGTGGATTGATAAGTGTTAGCAACAGAATTCCATATCCTGACTTCTGCAGCAATAAGTTTGGTGGTTCTCTAAATTATTGTGTTGAGTGGGTTTGAAAGTCCTTCCTTTCTGTCTGGTAAAAGTAAACCCACTGGCTGCCAACTTCATGTATTCAGTGAGAACTAGTTTCAATTTTCAGTTTATTTTATATAAGATAGTTTAAATGGACAGCACAGATTCCAGTTACTTGTTGTGTTTCCGATTCACAGGCTACCCAAGTGGACATGAGAGCAGCTCAGGTTGCCCAGGATGAGGTCAGTTCATGTTCAAGAGATTTCCCTAGATTGTGAGAAACAGCCTCAAGTCTGTAATTAATGATATTGCCCATGCCTTACTTAGGAAATTGCTCGACTTCTGATGGCTGAAGAAAAAAAAGCTTACAAGAAAGCCAGGGAGCGGGAAAAGTCATCTTTGGACAAAAGGAAACATGACCCTGAATGCAAGGTAGTTGGGGCCTCTTTCGTTTTGCTTTGTTTTTAGATAAGCAATAAAATGAGAGATGAAAGCAACATGCTGCTTTTAGAACGCTCTGAAAATCCATTTTGAATATGTAAAATACCTGCATTGTGTCATGGTTGTTTCACATTGAAAAACATCACTGATTTCATACTGCTAAGATTGCAAAGCTCATTTTGGTCATTTTCAGGCTGAAACTCAGATTCAGGGGTCTGTTTTTATATACTTACATTGCAAAACAATGCCATATTTTCACCTGCTTTCAAACCTGTCCTAGTTACCTGCATTTCCTCTGCTTTCCCAGTGTGCTTTCCCTGCGTAGTCCTTCTTCCCATACACACAGCTTTCTTTTGGTTTTTCATAGATGGAGGACTGACAAGTAAATGCATATCCCTAGCACCTATTGCTTATGTCTCATTACAAGAACATGTTAGCAGAACCTGGAGCTGTTATCTTTCCCCCATTAATCAGAAGCAGTTGCATGTCATCATTCTATTATGAATTAATCTAATTGTTGTGTACACTGGCTTCAAGTTAAATTTGACTATCAATATTTGTGAGCAAGGGTCCATTTCGACCAGTGTGTAAACACCAAGGAATCTTTACCTGACAGGGATTGCCAGTTGTGTTGGTGCATGATGTGCTGAAGAGGCAGGAGGGTCACTAGAAAGAAAAGTGACAGACAGATAACAGATACAAAGCCAAGTAGTGGAGAACAGCACACAAGAAAAAGGAGAATCCATGAAGTAAGGCTTTGGGAAGCAGGGTTTGTACTAGCTTGGGACCTTGCAGCCTAGAATATGTGCTCATGGTACACCTAATCTCTGTACTGTTCTCTCCATATTCCTCTTCTTCATCTCTGTTCCTGCTTCATAGTTTCAGTAATTATTGTGCAGCAAAATATCTTGAAACTGTACTGATAATGTTGCTTAACCCTTTCTCTTTTCTTAGTTACTAAGATTCAGTCTTAAAATAAAGGGAAGTATTATTTGCATGTTAGTATGTCTCTTTAGCCCACCCATCTTTAGAAGTTCAGGACATGTTCTAACATACTTCATTTTAGTGAAGCATCCCCAAATGTTTCTGTTACATAAAAGAAGCATGGAAGTTCAGATTCTTTAACAAAGAAAAAAACAATTTTACTTTTTATGAATTTTAAGTCAGAGAACAATTGCCACCTTGCAGGCAAGTATCCTACATTTTGCAGTTACAGTCTGTAACTGCTACTTTTATGGATACTTTCTTAGAAAAAATGACTTGAAATGTGCTTCAAATGGCTGAAAACCTTTACACTAAGATACACAACAAGCGTAAAAGCTCATATCCAGAGTGTCTGCTAGATCTGATCTGCAGTGCAGCTCCTTTGATACTTACTGTGGCTGTTCATGTCTGTGAGGATCACGGGGTGTGTGTGTGTGTGTGCGCGCGCGTGCACCCATGTGCATGCATGTCTGTGTTCATGCACATTTGGGTGCATACATTTGTGACTTCCTGAGGATATGGGTACATGCACGTGTGCATGCATGTCTCTGTTTGTGTTTGTATGTGTCTGTGTGCAAGGCTGTTTGTGTGTGTGCAGGTTTGTGTGTGTCTGTGCAGTTGTGTGTATATGTGCATGCCAGTACATACATATGCCATGTGTGCCCACTCATGTGATTACCCAGGCAGATTGCACAAGTCCATTGTATCTATCAAGTTTTGACTTGAATGGCTATATAAATACTTTATGTTATTCAGCTAAATGTAGCCAGAGATTTCTAAAGGAAATCTTGTTGAGGTATAGATTTTTTCTAAACATCTTTCCTTTTGTTTGGTGTTTTGTTTTTCTATCCACAGTCAAAAGCAAGGTCAGCACATTCAAAGTCAAAAGACAGTGATGAGACACAGCGTTCCAAGATTGACAGGCCATCACGGTAAGATGACACCCTGAAAAGGGGAATGAGGAAGTTAGCTTTGGGTGTGGAAGGATAATTCAGTTGTTTGAGAAGACTGTCCTTCCGAAAATCTGCAAATTGTGAGGTTGTTTTTAGTGTCGCAGGGTTATTCTCAAACCTTATTCCAAATCCTACATTGGATTGTGTAACTCCTGTAAGGAGTGTTTATAATAGATACTGGGATATAATGGAGAGACTCTTTTGTTGTTGTTAGGAGTGCTTTTTGGCATAAGGAGTTTGTTTCTCCAGGTAGAGAGACATGAGAGTAACTAATTTTTAATTAAACTCTCAGATTTTAAACTTTTGTTGGGGCTGAGAACATAGCTTCCTATGTAAAAATATTTGTGTATATTGTGTGTGTATGTGTCTGTGTGATTGTGCAGTTAATTGCCTTGTTGGAGCTTCAGTATCACTGTAGCAAGTAGCTGACTGCTCAGTGTTCTTCCTAACTCACACAGCCCCAACACTGAGAAACTGCCTTTTTTTTTTTTTAACCTTTATTAGTCAACAGTTAAGTCTGGAGAAGCAGTTCATTTTTCTTAATTAGTTTATACTGACTTTTTAAATGTTTGATTAAAATATGAGGAGAAACTTTAGATACAGAAGGATAGTGTGGAAAAAATAGGGAGAAGAATAGAGGACGTTCAATCCATGGAAACTTATAGTTAAACAGGAGCAAGAAGCTTTGGTATTTAGCAGGAGAAAGACTATAAATAATAGTCATTATATATATATATATATATATATATATGTACATTTCACACTCCTAGATGAAAGTATATTGAAAGCTTTGAAAGCTTTCACTATAAAGAATGGACAGGGCTGGGGAGATGGCTCACAGGTGATCTGGCTTCAGTTCCCCATCACCTACATGGTGTCTCACTACCACCTAACCTGTCCAGGGGACCTGATGCCTTTTTCTGTCCTCTATTGGCATCTAGTATGGAAGTTGAGCACATACATTGTGGCCAGTATTTTGCTACATTGTGGGTTCCTTTTTCTCTTTTACCCTTTTCTACCCTCATTAACTCCCTAACACTAGATTAGAGAGAAAAATTATAGAAGGGAAAGGGAGTGAAGTTAATATTTAGACTACTTTCTACTGATTAGGGTCATCCAGTTCCTTGGGGCAAGTTTGATCTTTGCCTGTTATACCCAGTTTGCGAGCCCCCAAAAGATCTACAGGAATCGACTCCGTTGCAAAACACATGAGGGTCTTTTTATTGTAAATTACAAGCTGCAGCTTGGGCCAACACAGCCCCACCGCTGAAGCGGTGGGAGCTGAGCGTGTGTCCCCAGGTTAGTTGGGTGATTTATAGATTCTGGTCCCTCCCACCATACCCAAGGCAGGGGCAATTCCTGCCTGGCAAGCATCTATTGGTCAAGATGCTACATTTTGAATCAATTGGCTATAGGAAGGTTCCCAGACCATTGACCATGACCAAGTGTCCCTCCCTAAGGGGAGGGTCAAGTTTCCTAGCAACCATGTCTCTAGTGGGTGGGGAAAGAATGCAGTGAGGTAGCTCTCCCCTCAGGACATTACTAACTTTGTTACGCACCTACTCTACGTTTTACCGATAGCTGCTACTTTATCTTTTGGTCTCTCATGCCATCAGGATATCTAGTTTCTTCTTCTTGTTTCTTTGTGCACAACTACTTGACAAACTGCAACCAACAGCATCTAACCACCAACCAGCCAACAATAGCCACACCTCCTCTTGGACCCTTAGCATATTTTTACCTTCTGAAAAGATTCCATAATTCCAAACGTCACACACTCACAGAAACTATCTGCAGCTGGCAAAACAACACCCCTGCAAGAGCACGAGACAAATCATAGTCACCTGTTGTGAAGCAACACCTGGGACTAAAACAAAACCATATTTTTTAGCATTTCTGTGTTTTTTTTAAGAAACAAAAAATATACAATAATCACTACATATACACTTGTAGGCAAATACTCATACACATAGATAAAAAGAAATACACCTTTTAAAAAAGAAATGATGGGGCTGGAACAGTGACTCAGCAGTAAAGAACATTGGTGGCTCAGAGCACTGAGATTTGATTTCCCAGCACCCACATGGCAACTTAACCATGTGTAACTTCAGTCTCAGGGGACCTATTGGCCTCCAGAGGTACTGCACATGTTTTTCACAGATGTACATGAGACAAAACACTCATGTACACAAAATTAAAATACAATAAAAAGAAATGATAAAAGAGGGAGAAGGTAGGCATGTTTAATCAGATTTGAGTGTTTGAACCTTGTAAATGTGTTGTACTTTTACGTTTTTATATGTCCATTAAAATTAGTTTAAGTGAACAAAAAGGGGCTGGAGGTATAGCTCAATTTGTAGAAGTGTTACCTGGCATGAAAGAAACCCTGGGTTTGATCCCAACACTCTGTACACTGGGCATGGTGCTTCATGTGTGTTGATTCCAGCACTAGGTGAGTGTGAGAAGATCAGAAAGCCAAGTCCACTTGTCTATACAGACCACGATACAAGAAGCCAGGAAAGACCAAAGAGGAAAGAAAGAAAATACACTAAATGTAGTATTTCAAAAGCTCTCAATTAGTAAACCATGGTTTTAAACCGTAACTTGTATTAAAATTACGGTCTTTGGAGATGGCCTGCCTCACAGGCATGAACTAGAGCTCTGATCCCTAAACTAATGCAAAATTGGACATGCTTGCTTGATAATTGTAATCCTTGCACTTGGGAGGCAGGGATGGCATCCTCAGTGCAAGCTGCTTAGCTAGACTAGCTACCAGTGGCAGGCCCTGGGTTCAGTGAGACACTGTCTCAATAAAGAAAGCAGAAAGCTATTGAGGAAGACATCCAGCATTACCATCAAGCACACATGCACCAGTACAAGTCTGAATACATGTATGAACGATAGATAGATGGATAGATAGATAGATAGATAGATAGATAGATAGATAGATAGATAGATAATTTTAAAATATAAGTTTAAGCTTACATGATTTCAAAAGATAAGTACCTTTCAATACTGGGTTTGTATTGGTTTGAGGACAGTAGTAGTGTAATGTGTGTAAAATCTGTTGCTCTTAGTTTTTGCTAAGCATATATAAACAATTACATTTATAATTGTGCACATTCCTATAGTATCCTAGCAAAGGAAGAGACAGTCGGTCCCTGGAAGGTAAAGATCTGGTTTTATCTAGTCAGATGAGTTCAGATCATTTGTAGGCGTTTTTCTTCAGCCTCAAGTCCTCTGACTCTCTTGAATACCAGTATATTTGACAAAAGATAAAAGCTAGCACTCTGGGGTGGCGGGCTATCAGCAGGTCCTAAATCTGGTCAGATTCAAAGGGAACAGTCCAATGTTCTTTTAAAGAGCCTGTTAGGAGTGTGGCACAGACAGAACGATGTGTCGTCTTTATGCTGAAAGGGTCATTTGGTCTAAGTATTATCTGCGAACAATTGTGTTTATGAGAAGAAGGATGTTATAAAACATTATTTGATAGTTTAAACCCTTGCATACTTAACAGATTTGTGAGTGTGTACTTGTTGCCTAAAGTCTTGTTTCCTCTTTCACATTTAATCATGATGCAAAGGTTGGGTAACTATTTGCATAGAATTAGCATAAAGGATGGCAGAACATGAGTTTCCACAGTCATTCTGTGAAATACTTCACCTTAGCAGTGGCACCAGCACAAATAAAGAAGACAATAAAACAAATAAACAAACAAACAAACAAAAACAACCCCAAACCCAACTCATGTAGAGCTTAGAATATTCACTGTCAAAGTTCCAATGACTTATTTTATTCCAAGTTTATTTTTATCTTGCTTATGAGGTGTAAAAATCATTCAGTAGTGTGGATTAATTGTTAAGTCAGAAACTTCAAAGGGACCATGCCTGTGTGCACTTACAGCCCAGTGAGGCTGAGGCTGGGGGAGCTGTGTTCCAAGCCTCTGGGGAAGAAAACTTGTCTAGGAAATCAAAACAAAACAGTTTCAACTCCATGGTCTTATACTGTAAATGTCAGTTGCTATTTTAGTTTGTATTGTAGAAAAGTCTAAAACTTTGACAAGTTTCTTTCACTTTCTATCATGTTCATATGAATAGCAATTTCATTTATCTTCACTTGATCATCTTTTGATCATCCTAATACTTAGAACTAAGATAAGCATCATTTCTTTTTTTTAATTTTTTTTCTTTATTAATTACACTTTATTCACTTTGTATCCCCCCTGTGGTTCTCTCTCTCCTCCCGTCCCAATCCCTACCTTTCTCCACCCTCTGCTCGCATGCCCCTCCCCAAGCCCACTGATAGGGGAGGTCTTCTTTTCCTTCCTTCTGATCCTAGTCAATTAGGTCTCATCAGGAGTGGCTGCACTGTATTCTGCTGTGGCCTGGTAAGGCTGCTTCCCCCTCAGGGGGAGGTAATTAAAGAGCAGGCCAATCAGTTCATGTCAGAGGCAGTCCCTGTTCCTATTATAATGGAAACCACTTGGATACTGAACTGCCATGGGCTACATCTGTGCAGGGGTCTTAGGTTATCTCCATGCATAGTCCTTGGTTGAGTTATCAATCTCAGGAAAGACCCCTGTGCTCAGATTTTTTGGTTCTGTTACTCTGCTTGTGGAGTTCCTGTCCTCTCCAGATCTTACTGTTTCCCACTTCTTTGCTAAGATTCCCTGCACTCTGCCCAAAGGTTGCCCATAAGTCTCAGTATCTACATTGATAGTCTGCAGGGCAGAGCTTTTCAGAGGTCCTCTGTATCAGGCATGTTCCAGAGAAACACTTAAAGAAATGCTCAACCTCATTAGCCATCAGGGAAATGCAAATCAAAACGACCCTGAGATTTCATCTTACACCCATCAGAATGGCCAAGATGAAAAACTCAAGGGACAACACATGCTGGAGAGGTTGTGGAGAAAGGGGAACCCTTCTCCACTGCTGGTGGGAATGTAAACTTGTACAACTACTCTGGAAAGCAATCTGGTG